CCCTGGCAGGGCCTTGGGGGCTGCAGTGAGGCAGCTCAGGTCCCATCTCCCAGCAAGCGGCCTGGTCCCACAGTGCACAGGGTGGCGCATGGGCCAAGCCTTGGGAGCCAGGGAGCAGCGGAGGCTGCTTGGGCTAACCACCCAGTGTGAGGATGGACAGCCGAGCCTGAAGGACCAGTCTGTGCTAAAAGAGCCCTCGGTGCTGAAGCCGGGGCATGGGGAAATAGCAGTGCTGCAGCGCGAGGCCCAGCACCCAGGAGCCAGCAGCCATGATGCAGCAGCTGAGAGGAGCTGAGCCCTCGGTGCCCAGAGCGGGGCACAGGGTGGGGAGGAGCCCAGCGGTGCAGGAGAGGCCTGGAGAGGTGCTCCAGCAGAGCAGACCCCATTGAGCTGCACCCTCACCTCCGCCACCTGAGGGAGCGCGAGTCATTGGGCTCTTGGGTCCCAGAGAGGAAAGATGTTTGGGCGGGCAAACCCAGAGAAGGGGCTTCGTGAGCAGCCCCCTGCCTCATCAAGGCCTGAGGGGAGGGGTACCTGGTGCTTCCTGGACACCCCCTCCTCGCCCACCAAGGGACCCCATTGGAAGAAGGACTATTTCTTGCCATGGGTCAGGGACTATAATAAGGAATGGAAGTTGCTAAGATTGTTCAATTTGCGCCTCATTTTGTAATTGAAATGTTTCATAGATGATAGAGTCGGAAGGGAACCACTGGATCACTGTGTCCGCCCCCTGCCCCTGGCAGGAAAGAGGGCCGAGGGCAGACGAACCCAGCCAGCGAGGTCAGACGACCCCAGCCAGGTGATTGTCAAGCCTCCTCTTGAAGACCTCCAAGTTAGGTGACAGCACCACCTCTCTTGGCAGCCCATTCCAGACTCTGCTACCCTTACTGTAAAAAATGTCTTCCTAACGTCTAACCTAATCCACTCTCCACTAGTTTGCACCCATTATTCCTAGTTACTGCCTGGGGCGCTCTGGTAAACAGCGCATCCCCAATTCCCTGCTGTCCTCCCCTCATAAACTTATAGGCAGCTACAAGGTCACCCCTCAGCCGTCTTTTGTAAAGGCTGAAGAGATCCAGATCTCTCAACCTCTCCTCGTAGGGTCTTTCACAGAGACCACTAATCATGCAAGTGGCCCTCCTCTGAACCCTCTCCAGATCCTCTGCGTCCCTCTTGAGGTGCGGCGCCCAAAACTGGACACAGTACTCCAACTGCAGCCTGACCAGTGCCGCATAGATGGGGAGCAGCACCTCCCTCCATCTGTTGGTCATGCCTCTGCTAATGTTGTATTGTGATGGATTAAGAGTGTCATTTAGGGTTTGACCTTGGTTATTGGTCAATGTTCACTGTGTGAACATATGTATATGATGTTCAGTTTTATGTTTATCTATATTGTAACTCAAGAAATTGTATATACTACCTGGCTGGGGTCATTTCAGCCCAGTTTCCCTCTTGCCCAGGCAGGGGGTCAGACTTGAAGATCTACAAGGTCCCTTCCGACCCGACTTCTATGAACCTATGATTCTATGATCCGCGATGCCAGCCCATCACAGATGTGCTCCTTGATGATCTTCTCAAAGAGTTTCCCCAGGATTGAGGTAAGATTGACGGGCCTATAGTTGCCCGGGTCCTCCCTCCTCCCTTTTTTAAAGATGGGGACCACACTGACTCTCTTCCAACCATCTGGCACCTGGCCCAAGCACCATGAGCGCTCATAAAGCCATGCCAAAGGCCCTGCAATAACCCCTGCTAGCTCCCTCAACACCCTGCGGTGGAAAGCATCTGGACCTGCTGACTTGAACACGTCCAGCCCCTCCAGAAGCACTCTAACCGGGTCCTCCTCAACCTTAGGTCTGGAGGCGTTCCCCTCGAGTCCGTCTTGAATCACGGTGGGGGAGTCCCGGTCCCTGCACAAGAAAACGGAGACAACACATGGCTAGACATGGGACCGCAGGCTCTGAGCCTCAGTCTTCCCTGCCTGGAGCTGCTCCCTCTGCCTCAGGGCTCGGCTTCTTACACTTTGCCCTCGCAGTCCCCGGACTCTGCGGTGGGGCTCGAAAGGGGGTCTGCCAGGGCTTAGGCGCCCCTGGGGAGACACGTGGAGTCCGGCAGGCGGACGGGCGTGGTGAGGTGGGAGGCTCAACGAAGGAGCTCCCCCTACTGGCCTGCAACACCCTGGTCACTCTGCGCCATGCTTTTCTCTCCTCCAGGTTGGATGGTTGTGATCTTGCACCCGCCTGCTGTGGGGATCTCGCTGCTGCTCTCAGCACCAGCCCCAGCCTGACGGAGCTGGACCTGGGTCATAACCGTGATCTGGGGGCTGGCGGCGTGCGGCTGCTGTGCGAGGGACTGAGACATCCCAGCTGCAAGTTGCAGACGCTGCGGGAAGGAGCACGGCGCCTCCTGCGGGCACTCGCTAGGGTCTCTCTGGGAACGTTCAACACGGCGAGGTGTCTTCGTCCTGGTGTTGGGACAGTGGACTAGGGCGGCTGGCTGGAGACGCCTGGGGCTGTGCTTGTGGGTCTCTGCTGGGTGTGGGGAGCATACAATTAGTAGTGAAATCCAGGACGCAGTTAAGGAAATCCAGCATGGGGTGCACTATGCACACACACGCACACACACACACACGTGCACACCCCCCCCGTGCCTCTTCACACACACACAAGAATGCTACCCTGTGTCTCCTCATACCGCCCCCCTCCCGGTCGTCCGCACACACACACACACACACACCTCTGTGCCTCTTTATACACACATGCATGCATGCATGCACATACCCCTGTGTCTGCTCACACTCATACACACACACCCCTATATGCCTCCTCACACACACGCCACATGCCCATGGGCATCCTCACACACACACAAGCACACACACTTATCCGTGCCTCCTTACGTACTACCCTGCACAGGAAAACCCCCAACACACACACCCTTTGCCTCCTTCAATACACATGCATACAGCCCACATGTGTGAGTGCCTCCTGTGTCACACCCCCCCCAGTGCTGCAATTTGCACTCATATGCACACACGCAGACACACGTCTGTGCCCTTTCAAGCACACACACATACATGCACATACACACCCCCTGTCCCTGCTCATACTCACACCCCCATGTGCCTACACACACGCACACACCCTTATGCCTCCTCTCATACACACACACACACACACACACACAGAGCCCACTGCCTACACACACACACGACACACCCGTGCCTCTGCTCTCTCTCTCTCACACACACAGACACACACACATCCACATACACCCCTCTTCAAACACACACATACATGAATGCACACACACCCTGTGCTGCCTCACACTCACAAACCCATGAACCTCTTCACACACAAACAGACCTGTGTGCCTCCTCACAGACACACAGAGACATACTCCTGTGCCTCCTCACACAAACCTGTGTGCCTATTTATACACACACACATACATACATTCAGACACACCCTTGTGCTTGCTTCTTCACACACACACACACACACACACACACACACACTTACAGACACCCCCCCCCGCCCATGCCTCCTCACATAGACAGAAACACGCCAGTGCTAGTCTCGCACAGAAACAAACCACACAGCCTGGTGCCTCCTGACAAAAACACACACATACAACACATCCTTGTTCCGCTCTCTCTCTCTCACACACACACACACACGCGCACACACACACACACACACACACACCCCCGTTGTCAAGGTCCATGTTTCAAAGGTGAAGCGTGGACCTTTCTGCCTGGTCCTTCATGTGCATGTCCTTCAGGAGAGGCGGGTGCGGGGGCTGCCTGGCACAGCTTCTGCCATGGCCTCGTTCATGCCCTGCTCACTCTGCGCCATGCTTCTCTCTCCTCCAGGTTGTGGTATTGCTATCTCACACCTGCCTGCTGTGGGGATCTCGCCGCTGCTCTCAGCACCAGCCCCAGCCTGACGGAGCTGCACCTGGGTGGTAACCATGATCTGGGTGCTGGCAGCGTGCGGCTGCTGTGCGAGGGACTGAGACATCCCAGCTGCAAGTTGCAGACGCTGCGGTAAGGAGCATGGCGCTTCCTGCGGGCACTCGCTAGGGTCTCTCTGGGAACGTTCAACACGGCGAGGTGTCTTCGTCCTGGTGTTGGGACAGTGGAATAGGGCGGCTGGCTGGAGACGCCTGGGGCTGTGCTTGTGGGTCTCTGCTGGGTGTGGGGAGCACACAAGTTCTAGTGAAATCCAGGACGCAGTTAAGGAAATCCAGGATGGGGTGCACTATGCACGTGTACACACATGCACACACACACGTGCCCCCCCGTGCCCCTTCATACACAAACATGAATGCTACCCTGTGTCTTCTCACACACACCTCTGTTCCTCTTTATATGCCCACACATGCATGCATGCACACACCCCGGTGCCCGCTCACACTCACACACACACACACACCCATGTGCCTCCTCATACATACACAACCATGGGCATCCTCACACACACACAAGTACACACACTTATCCGTGTCTCGTCACATACCCACTTACACAGGCAAACACACACCCACACACACACACCCTGTGCCTCCTTGAATACATGTGCACGCAACCCATGTGTGTAAGTGCCTGCTGTGTCAGACAGGCACATCCCAGTGCTGCGTTTCACGCTCACACACACACACAGAGATACGTCTGTGCCTTTTCAAGCACATACACATACATGCACGCACCCCCTGTCCCTACTCATACTCACACACACACCCATGTGCCTACACACCCCCACACACCCTTGTGCCTCCTCTCACACTCTCATACACACAAAGATTCCACTGCCTAGACACACACACAACACACCCCAGTGCCCCCCCTCTCACATTCACACACACACATCCACATGCACCCTCTTCATACACACACATACATGAATGCACACATACCCTGTGCCTCCTCACACTCAGACACACCAACCCATGTACCTCTTCACAAACAAACACACCCCTAGGTGCCTCCTCTTATACAAATGCAAACATACAAAAACACACACACCCTGCTATGCCTCTTCACAGACACACCCCGTGCCACCTCACACACAGCTGTTTGCCTGTTTACACACACACACACATGCATGCAGACACACCCTTGTGCCTCCTCTCACATACACACACATATACACATGCACACACACTTACATACACACACGCACACCGTGTGCCTCCTCACATACACAGAAACACACCAGTGCTCATCTCACACACACACACGTGCACAGCCCGGTGCCTCCTGACAAACACACACACGAAATATCCTTGTGCCCCTCTCTCTCTCTTTCTAGCGCGCGCACACACACACACACACAGACACACACACACACAACGTGTGCCCCTTGACACACACACGTGGATGCAACCCTGTGTCTCCTAACACACACACACATCCCTGTGCCTCCTCTCACACACACACACACACACACACACACACACACCCTGTGCCTCCACACATGCACACAAACACACAGACAACCTGTGCCTCCTCAGATACACATGCGCACCGCCTGGTGCCTCCTCTCTCACACACAAAGACACATGCACACACACCCCAATACCTCATCTCACACATGTACACACACACTCACTCATCCCCTGTGCTTCCTCACACACACAGCCCAGTGCCTACACACACCCCCCCCCCTGCCTCTTGATAAACACACACATACATGTAGACACACACCCCTTTCTGCTCACACTCACACACACACACTTATGTGCCTCACCGCACACACATCCCACAAACACCCAGTACTTCCAAGAATACACGTGCACACAGCCCAGTGCCTCCTCTCTCACACACACAGACACACCTCAGTAACGCATCTCATGCCCACACACATTCACACAATGCACAGACTCCTGTGCCTGTTCATACACACACATATATGCACGCACACCCCACTGCGCCTGCTCATACGAACACACACACACACACACACACACACACGTAAACACACCCGCCCCTGTTCCTCCTCACATACACACACACATACGCTACACACCCCAGTGCCTCCTCCCTCTCTCTCTGTCTCACACACACACATCCAGACACACCCCTCTTCATACACACACACATAGATGCACTCACACACCTCTGTGCCTCCTCATGTACACACAGACACACATACACCCTTTGTCTCTTCACATACACATGCAGACAGCCCGGTGTCTCCTCTCTTACACAGACATACCCCAGTGCCTCATCTCGTACACACAAATATACACACACAACACACTGTAGTGCCTCATCTCTCACTCACACATGCATGCATGCACACACACACACACACACACACACACACACACACACACACACAGAGCTCTGTACCTCTTCATAGACGCATGTATGCACACCCGCACTGTGACTGCTTAGACTCTCACACACACACACACACACACACACACACACACACACCCTGTGCCTGCACACACACATATAACCATATGCCTCCTTTCTCTCGCATACACACATCCCTCTTTGCCTCTGACCAAACACATACACCCATGCACACACCTCTTTGCCTCCACACACACATACAGACACACCCCTGTGCCTCCCTACACACACACACCCCCCCCTCTTCATACACACACATGCATGCACGTACACATGCCTTGTGCCTTCTTTCACATACACACACACACATATCCATGTGCCTCCTCCCGCACCCCCCCGTGTGTCTCCTGTCTCTCACACACACACACACACACAGAGCTACTGTGCCCCCTGACACACATGCACACACACAAACATGACACCCCAGTGCCTCTTCTCTTTCTCTCACACACATACACATCCACACACACTCTTCATACACACACATACATGCACACACACACACACACGCACGCACACACACACCCTGTGCCCTCTCACAGTCACACATACCCATGTGCCTCCTCACACACAAACACCCAAGTTCCTCCTCACACACACAACCATGTGCCACCTCATACACACCCCCCTTAAAAAATCCTTCGATCTCACATCTCTCACACACCTTAAAAAATCTCCATTCTCATTAATAAACTGAGCGACTGTGGCATTGATGCCTACACAGTTGGATGGGTCAAAAACTGGCTGCTGGGGCGCACCCAGAGAGTGGTGGTGGACAGGTCATACTCGACCTGGCGGGATGTGAGCAGTGGGTTCCCCCAGGGCTCGGTCCTTGGGCCCGCACTGTTTAACATCTTCATCAGCGAC